TCAATGGTATTTCATTGAAGAGTGAGGTCTTCAGCCGACATCTGCCCAAGATCAACTAGGCTGTAAGGAAGGAGGGTTTTAAAGGGGTAAAGAGCCTGGAGAGAAGCAAGAGACAGACAAGTACAGAGAAAACAGGGCAGAGAGTGAATGTGAGGACTCTGTGGGGCCCCCCCTAGTACAAAAACCCTTCTGTGCTTTCTATTTCTCCTTGGTAGGACACAGATTTCAGCCTCCAAGACCTTCGCTGAGTTCCAAAGAGCAGATTCAAACACCAATAATTAGGGGCATGAGGAATGCAAAAAGGAACAGTAGTGTAGATGGAGGAGGGCCCTGGTTCCTCCTGGGGCATGGACACAGACCTCTGATATATATCTTTGAATTCCTTTGCAGGAACTAAGGCACCCGCCCTCTTGGACAATGGTAACTTCAGGCTGAGCACAAAATTCCTGGAGCACCGCCCTGTGATCTCACTACCAACCAATCAGAGGAGGGTTACACACCCAGCAGCCTGCCTCCCAAATTTGGTCAATAAAATCTTGTCCTAAACCCCTCTCCCTCTCTGTTCTCCTTGCACTGTTGTTCAGTCACTCAGTCGAGTTCGACTCTTTGCGACCCCATGGACTGCAGCATGCCAGCCTTCCCTGTCCATCACCAACTCTCGGCGCTTGCTCAAACTCATGTCCATCGAGTCGGTGATGCCATCCAGCCATCTCATCCTCTGTCATCCCCTTCTCCTCCTGCCCCCACTCTTTCCCAGCATCAGGGTCTTTTCTAATGAGTTAGCTCTTAGCATCAGGTGGCCAAAGTATTGGAGCTTCAGCTTCATCATCAGTCCTTCCAATGAACACCCAGGACTGATCTCCTTTAGGAAGGACTGGTTGGATCTCCTTGCAGTCCAAGGGACTCTCAAGAGTCTTCTCCAACACCACAGTTCAAAAGCATCAGTTCTTCGGCACTCAGCCTTCTTTATGGTCCAACTCTCACATCCATACATGACAACTGGGTGCATGGCCCTGCCATAAGTACACCTTTATCTGCTCCAAACTCTGAGGTTTCAGTTGGTCTGGCTCCAGTGTGTGCCTGGCACAGTGACTGCAAACAGGCCCCCAGGACAGAGACCCACAGGAGGGCTGGGAGGAGTGATGTTCTGCCCGGGGCCACCTGCACATCACAGATACAAGGATCACTTCTGTCAGGCTCCCAGTCTCCACCAGTAATCTCCTCTCTCTCAGAAAGTAGAGTAGAGACTGCCAAAGCGCCTGCATGTCTCAGGGAAAGCGGATCAGAACCAGCCTCCCTTTCACCTCCAATTTTACCATGGTCAGCAGTGTTTCATGCATGACCCTTGAGACCACAACCTCCACTGAACTGCATTTTTTTTCAGAGAAGCCCCCAAAGCTTCAGATATAAAATGCTTTCCTTTTCTGTTTTCTCTGCTATGCAACCTGCAAGCCCTGACGGATCTCCTGGAAACCCAGCGGACCCAGACAAGGCACAGGAGCAAACCCCATGGACTCACAGCTGACCCTGCGTGCTTAGTTGCTCAGTTGTGTCTGACTCTTTGTGACCCCATGGACTGTGCAGCCTGCTAGGCTCCTCTCTTCATGGGATTCTCCAGGCAAGAATACTGGGGTGGGTAACCATTCCCTTCTCCACTGGATCTTCCTGACCCAGGGACTGAACTCAGGTCCCCTGCATTGCAGGTGGATTCTTTACCATCAAGCCACCACAGCTGACCCTAAACCCTTCTAAGCTCAACCTCCCAACACCCCTGACAGAGCCCTGCATCCTTTTGGTCTTGGAAGGAAACGTGCACAAAGCCACACTAAATCAGGGAAATACCTAGAAATGTTCCTGATACTAACAGAGATGAACAAGCACGATGTATACAGTGAAATCCTTATGCAATTGTACATGTCATAGGAGCAGGAATATAGTGGAAATTTTGCAGCAGCTGCTCAACCCTCATGCATGTGTCATCCTAGCAACTGGTAATGATTGGATGAAAGTTAAGAATGAAGTGTCACTTGAAGATGAAAGATGCACTTAATACTCTAAAAATAGCTTTATTAATATTTTGATACTTCCCAAGATAATCATCTCTCCAAACTCCTTTTTCTTGCTAAAATCTCCTATCTCCAGAGTGGGACACATATTCCACTTCCATTTGTTCATTATCAAGTTAGTCGTGTCTGACTCTTTGCGACCCTATGGAATGGAGCCCTCCAGGCTCCTCTGTCCATGGGATTTCCCAGGCAAGAATTCTGGAGTGGGTTGCCACTTCCTCCTCCAGGGGATCTTTCAGACCCAGGGATCGAACTTGGGTCTCCTGCATTGCAGGCAGATTCTTTACCAGCTGAGCTATCGGGGTAGGCACTAATTTTTGGAAATAGGAATCCAACAGGAGATTCCCCCACCAACCATGTGCAGACAGTCCACGGCATCCAGCTTTTAGCAATGAATAACTCAAACAGATTTGAATTCTTCCTTCTGCCTGTGATGGCTGCTCTGTGATGTGTTTGGGCTTCTGAGATCAAAATGTTAGTGATTCCTCAGCCCCCCTCGTGGGATACATAAGAAATGATTATGTTACTACGCACAGTGCAGACAATAAATACTATTAATTAAAAACTAACTCCTTGTCTTAGATCTTATAACACTTTCTTACGAACCTGAAACTCCAGGGAACTGTTCGACAACAGCACCATTCTGGCTAACACAGAAGGTAGCTCCTATGGGTCCCATCAGCTCCCAGGGCCAGCTTTGCTTCTGCACTTCTGGGCTGCACCCAAAACATCTGGAGAGGCATCTGCCTGGCTCTTCAGTCCTCTAGGAGAATTTTGAGGGCAGAGTTCCTGACTTCTGTTGTATGGCCAGGGCCTGGTTCCTATAAAGTTCTCATCAAAGTTGTCTGGTTCTCCAAAGGGCCGAAGCCAAGCAAGCCATGTTTGCCTGGAGTTAGACCCTGAATATCAGGTGGTTAGAACTCCAGGGAGCCTTAAGGAATGGCTAGCATTACTTACAGATGAGGGGAAAGAGAGTCTTTCTACAGCACTCAGGAATTCATTCCTGAAACTCACTACCTGCTATCACACCCTGGTCACACTCTCAATCTGTAGATCTCAGAGACTCCGTTCTGGAGACCCTAGAGGAGATTCCTCCCCATCTGCCTCCTCGCTCAGCTTTGGGGGCTAGAGGTCCCAGGACACCCTCTGCTGCCCAGGAAAACTCTGGCATGCCAAGTCAACCGGCCAAGTCCAGGCAGGCCAGCGGCTGAGCCAACCCTGGGGGGCTGGAAAGGCTGCTCAGTGGTGCAGGTGGTCTTCCAGGGCTGCTAGTGAAGAAGCAGGGCTCTGGGGGGAGTTAGCCCTGGCCAGTACAACCACTGGGCAGTATCTCCATCCAGCACCCTGTGGAGCTAGGCTTTCGGTTTAAATAGAGCCTAGAGTATAAAAGCAGGCTTGAGGCACCGAATCTGCTTCTTACCAGCTGCCTTGCCCTGGACACCTTATTTAAATATTCTGTGTCTCAGTTTCCTCTTCTCCATCAGCTGGAGATAACAGATCATAATCGACTTTATAGCCTGGCTTGAGGTCTAACTAAGTTAGTATAGGTAGAAATGTAGCCCGGGGGTGTGACATTACTGTAGGCACACAGGAAACAGCACTGCTAATATTATGACCAGTACTCACCTAAAATAAAACCATTTTTAAAACCACAACCTGGACTTCTTTTTGCCATGGACCATGTTTTGGCATCCAATCAGCAACCGTTTTGTTTTATTTTGTTTTAATTTCTAGAACATCTGCCTGATACCCAGAACATAATCCAGGGAAATCGCTTATTTATATGAATAGTCTCCCTTAATGAACTATTAACTGAAGAATACATCCCAAACAGCAAGGTAAATTGCCCAGTGTTTGAAAACAGGGTGAACATTTCAGCAGCAACACGTTTAACTCCGGAGCAGCCAATTAAGGTTAAAAGCGCAGCCAGTACTTTTGCTCGGGCTTTGGTGCCACGGGCTTTACTCTAAGGAAACCCTTTTGGAGCAAACGCATGTCAGCTGGGCACGTGGCTTTCAAAAATTACCTCTGCACTGAACAAGAGAGGGGACACGGGCACAGCGCCGTCCACCTCTGAGAACCACAGGGCGCCTCTTCTCCAAAGTGGGGGCGAGGAGCCAGCTCACCCGCTCCTGGGACGTGCAAAGTCGGCCGGGCGCTGGCCTCTTACCACGAACTCCTCCAGGGTCTGGTAGGTCTTGCCCCGGAACTCGCAGTAGTTCTTCCTCTCCTTGCACTGCGGGCAGCACTGGCTGGTGTCGACGTGGATGCAGCGCGGGTGCAGCCGCGGGCACTCGGGCTGGGCACACAGCGGTCCCTCCTCGGTGCACAGGCACGGGCAGGCCGAGGGCCCCGGAGCAAACTTCTCCCCGATCGCGTACACGAAGCCGCTCTCGTCCACGCAGCCCTTGCCCCGGTAATCCGGGTACGCGTACTCCTCCGGCGGCTCGGGCGTGGGCTCCGACTCCGGACCCGCCACGTCCTGGGCGGCGGCGGCCGGGGGCTCTTCGTGCGGGGTGTCCCCGCGGGGCCGCCCCTGCAGGTCCCCGGCCCCGGCGCCCCCGCCCTGGGCAGCCCAGGCCTGCTTCTGCCTGCTCCACGCCTCCCGGCTGGCCAGCCCGCGGCCGCTCTTGCCCTTCCAGTCCCGGCCGCCGCCGCCGCCGCCGCCCTCGTCCCTCGCCGGGCGCCCCAGCTCGCTCACCCGCCCCGGGCCGTCCCGAGACGCGTGCTCGCGCTTCTCCTGGCCCGGCCGCTCCGGCGCCTGGGCCAGCTTCTCCAGCGGGATCCTCGGGCTGCACAGGGCCACCATCAGGCAGCAGGTGAGCAGGAGGGAGCTGGACAGCGCGCCAACTGCCATCGCAGTGGAGCTGGGCATTCCCTACCGCGTCCCGGCGGGCGGGCGGGCGGGGAGCGCGGCCGAGGGGCGAGTCGCATTCACAGCCCAGGGGCGCGCCGCCGCCAGCCGGGAGCCGCCGTCCCTGCGGAGAGAACAGCAGCACAGCTGAGCCCCGCGGCCCGCGCGCGCCCGGCCCCCGCCCGGCCCCGAACCGCCCGACCCCGAGGCTCCCTAGCTGGACTCGCCGGACCACGAGGGCAGGGGCTGCAGTCTCGGCGCCCCGGCGCCGCCGGGGGTCCTACAGATCCCAGACTGCGGGCCTGGACGCGGAGGCGAGTCCCAGAAAAACACCGCCCTGCAGTGTGCCCCCTGTCGTCGTTATTAGCGGGTGGTGGAGCGGTGGGGCTGCAGCGAGCTGGGCCCGCGCCCCCTGCAAGGCTCGGATGGAGCCACATAACTCCAGCGCCCGGCGCCCCTCTTCAGGTCCCGGCCACACTTCCCCAAAGGTCGCGCAGTGGAGAATTCCGCAGTGGAGTGGCCGGTGAAGACTGTGCAGAAATTAAGAGGGAAACCCTTCCTCGCTTGCCTGAGGGCTTTTGGGGAAGAGGGGAGGGAAGGAAGAGAAGAAACCTGGCCGGGCCCTGCGATTCATCTGAACAACTTTTCAAACGCTGCCAGTGCGGGGCGCAGACGCCCCTTCCCCGCCCTCCACCTCAGACCCGGCTGGCTGCAGGGGGAAGAAGGTCCCCGACTATCCCCCAGCCCACCCCCAGTTCCCGGCTGCGGATCGGGGATTCGCAGGCTTCTCTTCCTCCGCCAGCCACCGGGCAGCAGCTCAGCGACTCGGGGCGCAGACCAGAGACCCCCGTGTGAGCCGCAGCGCTCAGTCTCCTATTTCCTGGACCCTGGTAGATTGAAGGTGTGCGGTGGAGGAGACTGGAGATGCAGGGCGGGGGCAAACGCCCCTCAGTCTCCCGGTCTCCGGAAACCTCTCTGGTTCCCAAACTTTCTGCGGCCCAAAGGGGCCGACAGAACCCTAGACTACACGCTGCAGGGTACTGGCCGCCCAGCCTCTCTCCACCTAGCCGTCCAATTCCCCAGATCTGTGCGCCCCGGAGTGGCTTCCTCCGCCTCCCCACCCTCTTCCAGTAAGCAGGGTTCGTCTGTGCCCTCTGCTCATTTCCAGTCCCAGCCGGGTGGACCTCAGTCCGGGCGATCACCCATATTTACAAACTTGGGCCTGGGGTGAGGGGACTCCTCCTGAGCAGCAGGGAGGCGGAAGGGCGCCCGGGGCGTGGACACCCAACATGCATCCTCATCCCCGAGGGCGGGCGCCCAGCCTACATACATGAGCGCAGGGCGCCGGCCGGACGCGGGGCTCGAGGCGGGCTCAGGGGCAGCAGCGGCGGGCACGGACCCTGGGCGCCGGCGCCCATCCTCCGGCCGGCGAGGGCCGGGAGCGGAGCGCACGGCGGAGAGCTCAGCCCCACCTGCGCGCGCTCCGCCCGGCGCGTGCACTCGGCTAGGGCGTCTCCGCGGTCTGGCTCGTGGCGCCGGCGGCCGGGAACCGTGGCCCCAACTCGCGTCAGTTTCTGCGCCGCCTTCCGCCGCTCATCCTCCGATCTGGTCCCAGCGTCTCCGCCACGAATCGCGCCCCGGGGCGCCCCAACTCGTTCTTGCTCTTCACGGACAGGCGCGGAGAGCTCCCCGGACCAGGCAGCCGGGAGGCTGGGGTGTCCGCGGCGCGTAGGAGGCAGAAGAGACGCCCGGAGCGCGGCGGGCGGGCGGGCGACGGGCCCCGAGGCCGGAGTGGGAGCCCTCGCTCCCGCCTCCCCTGCCGCAGCCGCCTCCCGCCGCGCGCGCTCCCCGCCCTCCTCTGCGGCCGGGGTTTGGGAGGCGTCGCCGTGGCGGCCGGCGCTACCCGGGGTTGGAAGACCTCCCGCCCCGCCGCCCCCCTCGCGGCCGAGACCCACCTGTCAGTCTCCCGCGCAGCCGCCTCCCCACCTCCGCCGCCGGCTGCCATCCTCCAGCCCTGTTATTCACCCTCCGCTGGACCTTCCATCTGCGCTTTCTCCTCTCCTTTATTCTTCCCTTTAATTCCTTCCTTCTTAATTGGCCTCCTCTGGCTTTCCTCCCCGCGGACAGCCTGTTCTTGCGACTGTTGGAAAACCAGAACCAAAGTGTGTTCAGTTTGGAATTCGAAGGCCGTGCTAGCTTAGCTTAGCAGCTTATGGGGAGTTGGTTTTTTTTTTCCCCTCCTCTCTTCACATTCAGAAACCCAGAAGTATAGGCGTGTGAGAGTCAAACCCGTAACAGTGCGTGCAGTGTCCTTTCGGACTCTGCCCATTGCTCTTCTCCACTCCCCACCCCCACCCCGTCCCGCTGGTCCCCTTTCCTGGGTGACAGACTCCTGTCACCGAATAGAAACGTCTGCCAGGTTAACTTCGCTGGAATGCTAAGCTGTCCAGCAGAAGCCTGTGTGGTTCAGACTTGTTTTTACTCTTTGATCGGATAGGGAAAGGAAGGAGAAAAGGAACCTGTTCAAATTAACCCCTAAAATGAAATTGTTTGTAGAGAGGTGTGTTCCCAGGCAGTGGTTCCTACTGTGTCATCTTAAAATCACTGACAGTACTCAGCTGTATAAACACACAACCTTTATCCTACAAGGTCAGGCCTTGGCCGGGGGCTGGGTGTTTGAGAGCAGTTGCCTTCCTCCTCCACAGGAGATGTGGCTGGATCCCTGGGTGGGGAAGATCCCCTGGAGGAGAGCATGGCAACCCACCCCAGTATTCTTGCCTGGAGAATCCCACGGACAGAGGAGCCTGGCGGGCTACAGTCCATGGGGTCCCAAAGAATTGGATTTGCATGAGCAGCTAAGCACTCACAGCACCCACCTCTTGACAGTGAACAAAGCATCTGAATGAACTGCAGAAAGGCCCTCCCCCAGCCACAGAAAGGCTGGGCAGAAGACGTTTCTCCTGATTCAACAAGCCAACCTCCCGCCACCACAGGCCGCCATCCCCCAGCCCCGCACCAAAAAAAAAAGAAAACCAGGTGGGTGGAGCATTTCAACATCCAGAAAGATTTAAGCCCTTCTGCCTTTGCATCCTGTCACTTCAAAAGACGGGTCACACTGGCCTGTGGGACTGAGCAGCCTGGCCACCCAATCATTTCACAGCATGTTTGTTTTTGTTTTAACACCAAGGACTCTCAGATGGTTACATTGGTGTAACCCCTAGTAGATGTGACTAAGAAGAATAAAATTTAATGGTATGTGCTTAAGATTCTACTTCTAGCTAACAAGTTGGTTGGGGGTCCGATGGAATCACGAAGCCTCGTCTGATCTCACCCCAGTCACAGAGCACTTGAATCAGAAGCCTTTGTGCCTCCGTGTGTGGGCACAGTGGAGCGCTGTGGTGAGACATGATGGCCCTCACAGGGGCCTGACAAAATGAGGGGTTAATTATACTGCCCAGTGCCCCAACTCTGCCTTATGGCAGGTAACTAACTCTCAGGGGTGTTGTTAGAGGGCAGACGAGATGAGGGGAGAAGCAGTTTTAGAAGGATCCCTGTCCTTAGTGGAGAACAATATTCATGCCATCTTGATTAGCTGAGAAATTCAAGGAAATATCCGAGAAATAAAGGGGAATCTGATCCCCTTTCTCTGTCTCTCTGTCTCTCTCTTTCTTCCCTTCTCCTCCCTCCCCCTTCCTCCTTCCCTCTCTCTCCCTCCCTCTCTTTCTTCCTTCCTTTCTCACTATTTTTTCTTCCTTCCTTCTATCCTTTCTCTTACCTGAGTTCTTCTCAGGTTGCAGAGTAGAAGGGAGTGGCAGAGGGATTTCTGGCTGTGGAGTAAGGTGACGAGGTCTCATCAGGTCCCACTTGGGGCAGCTTTGTGACCTCAGATGATTCACCTGCTGTCTCAGGGTCACCATGTCTCCTCTTTAAAAGGAAGAAGGAAAAAAAAAGTGTCTCTGGAAGAAGAAAAAAAAAAGGCATCTCTGAGTAGGTAGCAACCCCAAAGGGCTTTGGGACCATGGCATGTTTCTGCCCCCCTGAACCTGTAGTAACTGACTTTTTTGTCTTAAATCAACCAACAGAAGTCCTGAGTCTGTGAGCCTGTCCACAGCCCCCGGGCCCATCCTGAGCAGCAGGCAAGGCGGACGGGTTCCAGTACAAGTTCAGAGTTGCTGCGTCCTCAGCGTTTGTGTCTCCTGAGGTTTAACTCGTTTCCTTTCCTTTTCATCAAGGCTTGTTTCTGTCTCTGTCACAGGCCTTGTAGCAGCAGACTGCGTCTTAGCTCCGGGGTGTCTGCACACACCTTTGAAACGGTGCTTATTAAGCCAGGGGCTCTTGCTGGACTTGGTTCATCTTGTCGTGCTTTCAGCCCCGGAAGCAGGTGAGGAGGGAGGGGTAGGAAAAGCTGGGAGAACCGAGCTGACGACTCGCACAATCCTGGGTGTGTTCGCAGCCGTCTCATTCATTTCCTGCGGCCTGCCCGGCGCAAGGGGCGCCGTTACTGCTTGCTGTGTTGCCAGTGGGGAGCCACACCGGGAGGAAGCTGTGAGCTGCCTAAGGTCCCAACTCACAGGGCTGAAGCCTGGTGACCCTGGAACCTCAGACTCTAACGCCAGGGCTCCTGGGCCAGCACTGCAGCTGCCTTGGTGGTGCTCTGTGACTTAACTATCCGTGTCGCGGGGTACTCCTCAATCTCCCAATCCAGCCGATCCCTCGTGACTTCACATCCCGGGCCCGACTCTCCTGAGGGCACACGGTGGCAGAGGGGATGGGAGGGTCAGAGCGGGCTGTGTGCCCTGTGGTCAGCTCCAGGGACATCCTCGTGGTCACGTGTGTAGACCAGCCCAAACTAACCTCCCCTAGGGGCTCAGTCTGTTTCTGCTGACGAATCAGGGACAGAGTCATACCTGCATAACTGAAGGAAGGTAACTCCTTCGAGGAAAGAATTAGACCAGATGCACTAGAATGGAGGTGTATCAGGAGATAAAGTGGCAAGTGATGTCATGAAGCTTGGGTCTGCTCCCAGCTCCCCTAGAGGGATGAAACAGGGTCGATGAGGGACTCAAGGGGAAGACGTGATGTTTGTGGCTTGAGGGTAGAAAAGAAACTATGGGATGAGGTTACATGCGTACGTGCCAGTCACTGCAGTTGAGTCCAACTTTTTCCTAGGCTATGGGCTATAGCCCGCCAGGCTCCTCTGTCTGTGGGACTCTCCAGGCAAGAAAACTGGAGTGGGTTGCCATGCCCTCCTCCAGGGGATCTTCCCAACACAGGGATGGAACCCTCATCTCTTACGTCTCCTTCATTGGCAAGTGGGTTCTTTACCCTAGTGCATGTGGGAAGCCCATGGAATGAGGTTAGGATGAACAGATAAACAGCCATGGTATGGAGGGTCTGATGGAGACTAGAAAGTGGATGGATGCCTCGGGGCCTAGCGTCTTGTGCATTTTCTCCACAAGCAAAGAGCTGATTGGGATGCAGGGAGAGCTTCTCCAGAGGTGGCCGTGGATGGGAGGGTGCTGCCAACACTACCAACCCTACTGGGAGGGGATGCAGAGTCATTTCTGTGGGAAGGAGAGCCTTCTGGAAACTCCTCTTCCAGTAGAGACAGGGCAGAAAATGCAGAGCCTTGAACCTCTCACTACATCTTGCTGGCTCCTGCCTGTCTGGGTCCAACACCTAAGGGTTGCCTTTATTGAATTCACACCTTTGCTAAATTTGCATTTATCCTGAATTCTGGTCTTGGGCCAGGGAAAAGCCATAAAATCTCCAACTTTCCAAGCTGGAGGGACTGAAAGCCACTTGCAGCTGAAATCAGGGCAGCCGGATGTTTGTGGTCAGGCAGAAGGCTGAGCACTAACTCAACCTAATGAATGAGAGAAGCCACCTTGGGCACTCAGATGCCTTTTAATAGTTGTGCCCCGAGCAAGCCTGGCTGTTAGGGAGCCACCAGTTAGAGTTCTCTGGATCAGGCTATGGGGGCAGCAGCTCCATCCCACTCAGCCTCTGATCCTTGGCCAGAGCCTAGAGTTACTGCTCCTGGGCCGGCCCGCTGCCTGATTACCCCACACCTCGGGGACTCATCTCTCCCACTGTTCTGCCCAAAGTCAGCAGCATCTGCTCAGATAATCAAATGGATGTCTTACAGGCATTCTTCTGAAATCAGTGGCAAAGCATGTTTCTTGAAAGGTGGCCAGGGATCCATTTCAAATACACTATAAAGACCTGCACCACATTTACACCCCAGACCCCCCAGACCACAGACACATGGACCCATATAGAAGTTTCCAAAACAATCCTAATGGAACCAGGGCCCCTCAGAATTGATTGGCCTGAGAAGGACAAAATGAGGTCGTGGGCTTCTGCTGGTGCAGGCAGTGCTCTCAGAGGAAGGGCCTGGGTGGAACAGAGGTGAAAAGCCTCGAGCGCCACTCTGTAAGGTTTTCCTCCTCCTTTTGGACAGTTCCGAAGGAGGCAGCCTGTCAGATGCCGGGCGCCATGCCCATTCTGGGCAGGGTTTTCCTTGCAATTGATGAAGGGAGTCTGGGGTCCACTCTGGAGCACTTCTGAGATGGGGTGTGTTTTCGCATGACTGCATCTTTGGCGCCTGGTCTTCCCAGGAGTCAGGCACCAGGCGGGGCCATGGCACAGCCAGAGACCTAGCTCTGTTTATACTCTGCTCCTAGGTCCCCCGGAGTGGGATGAGAGCCCAGCATAGCAGGAAGCAGAAGACCTAAATAGGCATTTCTCCAAAGAAGACGTGCAAGTGGCCAAAAGGCACGTGAAGAGATGTTTAACAGTGCCATAACTGTTATAAAAATGTAAATAAAAACTATGAGCCATTGTAACACTCCAGTCAGAATGGCCATCATCAAAAAATCCACAGACAATAAGTGCTC